GTGCCTCGCCCCCTATTGCTAGTCCGCCTATTTTTTGTCCTAAATATTCATGTTGTTAATAAAGTAGCTCCGAAAAATTTTAGAACTCTAACTGTTATATTTTCTCAGATATACTAATTTAAGATTTTATTTATGTTCATATGGATGTCAAAGTTGTCCATACAAAATCTGAGGAGCTGTTGCAGTTTCTGAGATATGCAACTTTTAATTATTATTTTGGATGTAGGCGAGGCACCTCGCCCACTTAAAATTTCTAAATAAAAAGTAGCCTATAGTTCCTTCCAGACATACAGGAAGGCACTGTGAAAATTTCAAGAAAATCGGTCCAGCAGTTTAGCCGTCTATAGACTTCAAACAAACAAACAAACCCACAAACAAATAAACACACATTCATTTTTATATATATAGATGCCGACTACTGGGTGATGCCGACATTAGGTGCATTTACTCTATACCCTTCTCACGAAGATGAAGGGTATAAAAAGAAACAAATTAAAAAAAGCAACTGGTTCAATTTTTTGTTAGTGTGTTTTGATTTTTTTAGATTTTACCTACAATGTAAGTCATTAAAAAAGTAGTTCATAGTCGCCTAGTAAGCGAAGTTTTTCCTGGGTAGGGAGGAAAAAAGTACCAAAAAACTGGAAATATTATTTTATTCAAACACATTGAGTCAATTTAGATAAAAATTTTAGATGTAGAAACTCTAACTATGCTAATGGGGTGTTATTCGGAACCCCGGTACCAAGTGATATTTTTTGCTAATTTTTCATTCTCCAACTGGTACTTTTTGAGTTTTCTATCGTACTTTTTCGTTCTTCACTTTTTTGAGTTTTCTTTAAAATTAAACCTAGAAACATGAAATTAAGCATGTAGAGCCTGGAGTAAATGAGAATCTACAAAAGGGGACTTTTTGATTCTTTATGGTACTTCGACTGGTTCTTTTTTAATTTTGAACCTACAAACATAAAATTAAGCATGTAGGACGCGTAGTAAGTGAGAACATACAAAAGGGGACTTTTTAGTACTTTTTCGTTCTTCAAAAGGTACTTTTTGTGTTTTTTATAATATTGATTCTAGAAACATGAAATTAAGCATGTGCAGCCCAAAGTTAATGAGAATCTATTAAAGGGGAATTTTTCGTTCTTTAAAGGTACTTTTGAATTTTCGATAATAATGAACTTAGAAACATAAAATTATGCATGTAGAACCAGAAGTAAATGAGAACCTATAAAAAACGGACTTTTAGATACTTTTTTAACTGGTACTTTTTATTATAATATTGAACTTAAACATGAAATTAAGCATATAGACCTCGGAGTAAATAAGAACTTGGACATTTTGGTAATTTTTCGTTCTTCATCTGGTACTTTTTGAGTTTTCTATTGGTACTTTTTCGTTAATTAACTGGTACTTTTAAAATTTTCTATAATATTGAACTAAGGAATATTAAAAAATTAAATAAAAGAGCTCTATTGGTACTTTTTCAAAATTCCGATCGGCCCATAATTGGTCATAGCTCCCGTACAAGGTACTCTCCAGAAAATCACTTAAACGCAAATAACTCATTGCTAAATTAAGATATTCATATAAAATTTGGTACAAGTATTGCTCTTATATACAGAAATATTACTATGGGATTTCCCCTTTTTTCCATAATTGGTCATTGCTCCCATACAAGGTCCCCAACCGAAAATCATTTAAACGCATATAACTCATTTCTAAATTAAAATATCCATACAAAATTTGGTACAAGTATTGCTCCTATACACAGAAATGTTACTGTGTTCCGATCGGTCCATAATTGGTCACAGCTCCCATTCAAGGTCCCCTCCCGAAAATTACTTAAACGCAAATAACTCATAATTGGTCATTGCTCCCATACAAGGTCTCCAACCGAAAATCATTTAAACGCACATAACTCATTACCAAATATTGATATCCATTAATTTAGCACAAAATTTTGTCTTTATATACATTAATGTTACTGTGGAATTTTTTTAGGAACGGACCATAATTGGTCATAGCTCCCATACAAGCTCCTCGTATGAAAATCTCTTAAACGCACATTACTCATTACCAAATAAAGCTATTGATACAAAATTTGGCACAAATATTATATTTCTCTACATAATTTCACTATTAAATAATATTTTTTTTTAAAATACAAACAATTTGCACGAAATTGTATTTATTTATTAATTTTCAAATCAAATTTTGTTTACGTACTGAATGGGGTGACCATATTTCTAAATCAAATATTATTTAATTTCAAAAATTAATCAATGTTAATAAAAATTGTGTTAATTTAATAAAATGTAACTTTATTTAGAAAAAACAAAAAATCTAAAATTAAAATCGATAACTCTAAAACAATTTATTCGTCGTTCGTCTCTGTATGAAATAGAAATAAACCTATTCGTTATGTACGACGAATTTCGTCATATGCACGATTGTGCGTATTTTCATACACTTTAGTTCTATATCTGACGACCAATTGTGCGTATGGCATAAATAATTTTTTACGATCGGTCTATCATTGGTCATATCTTGTCCTGCACCGAAAATTACTTTAACCGTATTTAACTAGTTGCATTATCAATTTGTTTAGAACAATATTATATATTTTGAATTTCCTTAAATTCTTCACACACACGCATACATGCAAATTATTAAATATCGCTAAAACATATCTTAGGGCGCTATAAAAATATACAAGAAAATGGCGTTTGTAATGTTCAATAAATCTTGCAATTGTAACAGATTTAAGCTGTTTAAATTTTGGGGTTTTTCTATTTAAGACATGAGAAAACTTACATATTTCTACAAATATTTAATCAATTAAAAAAATATTAAAAAAAATGACTTTAACTCTCAGTACTGCCTTAAAAGTACGGATACAGCGATGACACTTGACGTACAAGCCAAAATCTCTGTACCAAATTTTTTGAGGATCGGTTCATAATTGACCCTAAACCTAACATAAGGTCATTAATGGCTTAAAAATACGAGTATAGTGATGAAATTCGACATACATAAATAAGTTTGTGACAAGTCAAAATCTCTCTGCTGAATTTTATGAGGATTGGTCCATTATTGAACCCTTAAAAAGAGATTTTCATACATGTTTTTTGGTTCAATATTGAAAATCTGCGAAACTCCCTTTCAATAAGGACTCTATAAGTTTGACTTTATGATTCTAGTCTCAATATTACAGCAAATTTAAAAAACAGTTTAAGAACGGGCAAGTGTCCTTGTATCTGACCTACTATCCAATAGTACTAACCTTAGTGCAAATTTCGTCAAAATCGATTTTTTGAGTTAGGTCACTTGACATTAAATTCCCCATATATGTATTTCTTAATGGCCGATAGTTGGACACCACAGAATTGGTCTATGTTCAGAGTAGCCATTCTTGTCCCAACTTTCGCCAAAGTATCAGCAATGTTGTTGCCGTTTGTGTCCCCGTGTCCTTTGACCTAAACAAAGGAGAGACGCCCGGCATTCTTGGACAATTCTTGATGTATGGCGGCTTGACTATCTGTATAGATTCTGATATCTCTGTTTTATATCCAGATTACTGATCTCTTTGCCTCGTTAAATAATCTACAACACATCCTACGAGTTTTCGCAATTTCGGGATCCCACCAAATTTACATGCTCTCTTTGTGGCTACACTTAGAGAGCTAGTAATCCAATTTACGGCTAACTCAATGTCATCTCTATTCTCTATACTAGAAACAGGAGGAAGAATATTTGCTAAGGTCACTTTGTGTACATAAATTGGAAATACTTTTGAAACGACATACTATACCTTTGAAATGATCAGAAATTAAAATCGTAAGAATTATTTGAAAAAGGTCAGAACCATCAGATACATTTTATTGTTTCGCTTATGTTTAATAATAATAATTATAATATATATGTATGTACATATTCAGTAAGTACTAAGTGTACGAATATTGAACTATATCTATACTCGTATGCGTATATGTTGTTGTATATATAGATTTATTATATATATATATTTAAAAAAATATGTATATATATACTTCAGATACATATACATATGTATATATGTATAAACATATTTCCATTTATTTTTTTTTTCGTTGAGTTCCTAAAATTTATTTTATCTGAGAAACAAAGTGTCTATGTTAGCGTTTCGGTCCATGGGGTACTAACTAATCAGCAGTTGTGTCAAAAATTATAAATAAATAAATAAAACACATTTCGATCCTGCTTCTTCCGCTCTCTCTTTCTAAAAAGGGTAATAACAAATCTAATGTTAAACAAAAAATGTATATTGAGAATCTTTTTAAACAGTCCTGCTGTCAAACATTCTGATAATTAATTGTTTCCTTATTTTGTCATTTAGAACATTCGACACTGGACTCTTTAAACTTCTTTGCCTAAAGTTTTGAAGATAATTAAAGTTCTCGGGGATCAAATACAAAATAAAAAAACGTATAAACGGCATAAATTTCATATTTGATTCTTCTCCATATCCTATCCGTGGTTGTTGCAGTTTTTGTTTTTCTAGCCAATATTCATAAATTGGATAATTGTGCGTGAAGCTTAACTATTGTTTTATAAGTTGAAACAATTTGTGTTATTGTTGTTGGTGCTGTCGTAACGTTCTAGAACATAAATCGATATTATTATTGGTGTTATTCTGATGATCGTTGTTGGTGAGGTGTTGAGGAGGGTGGTGGTGATGATGCAGATAGTGATGATGGTGATGATACTGGGCATGTATCTGTTGTGACAGTCGCTGATCCACAGACTTGGACGTAGATGGTTCGAAGGTTTTTGTAAATCCCTGTTCCAAGGACTCATCGAGATCATTTGCATGGGATGACAGATGCTGCTGATTAGAGCTAGTCAACATTAAGGGAGATGATGATGTACGCTCGTCATAAATACTTGAATTGATTTGATGTGAATGTGTTGGTGCATCGCTGTTAGCTATGCTGGCCGCGGCTTCCAAAGCTACAGCAGCTGCAGCAACAGCTACTGATGCTGCTGCCGAAGCACTCGTACTACTTATATCAAGGTTTGCACTGCAGGATGAAGGGACAACAATCGACGGTGTTGCTGTGATAGGGCTGTTGCTGTGAGACACACCAGCAGCCTTTGTGAGCAATTGTGGTGTCAAGTCAAAGAACGTAGATCACTGAAGACGCGGCCAATAATTCGCTCCCGCCAAATCACTGCTACTTTGTGTTGCTATTTGTACTGGTACAGACACTCCAGCGGAAATAACGCCTGCAAATGTATGGTTATCTGAAAATTAATTAAAAATAGAAAAATAAAAAACTGTTTAAAAGAAAATTATTTATTATTTCTAAAAAATTAGTATTATTGTGCCAGCATGCTGATGTTGTGTATGGGCCTTTTTACGTTCATTTATGGTCAAGGTAGAGAAAAGGTTTCTTTATTAAAGATCCATGTTTCTAAAATTTGTTGCGATTGCAGAGGGGTGAGCTGAGTATGTAGCTAAGTTTACGGGAAAATAATATGAGAAAGTTGGACTTCTTCGATGTTGTTGCGGAATGCGTTATCTGCATTATATATGACTTGAACTCTTCGCGAAAGTTCTGTGTTTTTGGAACTTAAATTTTAATTTTAAAATACATACGAATTATTTTACTGAGTGCTGGTTTAACATATTGAACACAAATAGAGATCACCTCTGTTTCGGAAATATATTATGTTAGTCCTTTCAAACGATAACACGTTTGCTTACAATTTGACAAACTTAAATTTGCTATAATCTTATCATTGGGATACCAGTATCACTTATTTAATTGTAAGGCAGATCATTATCCGTCTGAAAAAAAACCTTTATTTCAGTACATATGTATACAGGAAATACAAATTTCAAATCACGTAATATTGATACAATAAATTTGTAAGGCCTAGCTTTGTCATGATAAACAACCGAAAAATTAAATTCAAAAAGTCACCAACAAATCTGGGATTATTGAACAAAAATTGTGTATTTTAGTATTTATAAAAAATTTGTAGATATTTTTAGTATTTTGTATTATTCATAGTTTTTTCGTACGTCTTCGCGGACCCTCTAGGAGCTTGCTACGGAACACAAGGTGTCCGCGGACCCCCATTTGGGAACCGTTGTTTTAAGCAACATAAGCAAAACAATTGCAAAATTATATAAAAAGAACATCTGTAACTTACCTGAATTATTTGCTCCAGCACTTGAACTGCTACCATAAACACTATGCTGGGGAGTCTGCTGATGGGCCGTTGATGGGTTACATGAGTTTCGCGTATGAGCAGCGTATGGTGAGCTAAGAGAAAGCGGATCATGAAACATATACGTGTAACTTTCACGTTGTTGTAAACATGGCGATGGCATTGAACTTAGCGATGATGTCATGGAGCTAAAAATTAATAAATTTTACTAAATAATAGCTTTTACTATTTGAAAACAGAATTATAATAAACAATTCGCTACACAAATAGCATTTATTATAATTTGGAACAAATCCGAAATAAATCTGTTTTTAAAATTCAGAACTATTTCTTAAAATTCCAGCCATTGTACTGTCTGAAATTGTATCTTTGTAGGATCAAGTTCGGGTTTCTCATTCCATAAAGCAATTTCAATTAATTACCGTTTAGACCATAGTCATGACCTACCACTTACTTGTAAGTTTCTGCCATTGTTGCAATTGGCTGGGAAATCGGTGAATACATTGAATTAAAGCCAGAGTTCAATGATAACCTGGATGTGACTGTTTGTAAAGGCGGACTAACAGAATTAACATGGCCAACGCCAGCGTTACCGCCACTGTTTTCCGGTATATTAGGTGCTCCGTTTGTACTATTTGTAGGTACACTTGATGACGCTGCCGTTGTTGGTGCTGAATCGTTTGTCGTGTTACTACTATTTGAATTGGGTGTATGACTAGATGTATTGCTTTCGACTAAAGATGTTGCATTATTAACGCTGCTTATAACAGAGTTGGTACCTGTTGGGTTTGTGGCACTTGTTCTACCACTATGACCGATGTTGTCGGCCGAACGTCGCTGAGTTCTCAACTTTTCTTCTCTACGCCATTTGGCACGTCTATTTGAAAACCACACCTATTTTTTTGATAAATATAATGATTTGCATTCTTAGATTATGATATATTATATGACTGATTAAATAATAAAAATTGTAAATCAAATAAAATTAATAAGATTTGTAATATAAAAAAGAAAACAGTTAAATAGTGGGACAAAGCGCCTTTTTGTACGTCATAACAAAATTTTAAGCCTAGATATGTTTGCAAATGTTTAAAACCATTAAGCATATAATTCAATACATTTCAGTAATTCCTTATGTACATCACACTGAAATATTACATATTACTTAAGGAATCTTATTAATTTTGTTCTTTTCAAGAAATTTTTTTAGTTTTGAAAAATTTTACAAAAAGATTTTATGTTTTTTTATAAGATTCATGAATGTGCTAGTACGAATTTTTGTTCAAATTGGATAATGCTTACTTGGTTTAGTCTGTGGCCATTATTTTAACAGCATCTCCAAAACTTCATTTCCAAAAATTTTGTTAAATGAATTTAAAAAGAAATTCAGTTTTCTATGCTGGATGTTATAAGGTCACGATCGGCAACGTCTATACACTGTGACAGGGATGGCAAATTTGGTACGATGGTACTTTTTTTGATACTATTTGATGTTCAAAAGTACCGTGGTACTTCCGAGTCTTATTTGATACTTTCAGGGCCAATATCTCAACCTCCGGTTATCGTTTAACAGGTGGATATACTGCCGGTAAAATGATTTTTGTATGTAAAATGTCAATTTATCGTTATGATAAAACATAATCAGACAAGTTCAAATTTGAAATTCTAAGAATGTTTTGAAATCTAGTTTTAAAAGACACTTTTTAGAAGTATGTTTTGCAAATAACCTATGCAGCTTACTTCGAATTTTTATCTTGATTGACATTATATGAATAATTCCATTGTTAATATTATATGAGAAAATTACCAAAAATTTCAATTTTGAAAAAATATTTGACTTTAAAACTAATTATTTCCAAATGATAGAAGATCGAAGGACTCAATTTCTATCTAATATAAAACGATATGTTTTGAAATTAAGAATTCAACCATAGATAATAAGAGAAATTTTTGGTGAAAATTATTTGGACTTTAAAGCAAATTATTGTTTCATGTCATGAATGGTCTTATGTATGGTCTCATGTGTAGAATTTGATATGACTATTGATTTTTTAACAAATGAACACCTATGTACATCGAATTTTAATTTAATAATATGTATATTAGGGTGGCCCCAAAATGGAAATTGCTGATGTTCCCACCGAAAAGGAAATTTTTTTTCATTCTAAGATACCATTTCTCAAAATTTTTGTCCTGACGTCAATATTTGGTGAGCTGGATCAAAGGATAAAAAGGTCCTTTTTAGGGTTTTTATGTTATTTTTTTCAAATTTTTGACAAATAAACCTTATGCAAATTTAGTATCATATGAAAGGTCCTTGGGAGACGATTTCAATGACATACACAAATTTGTATACAACACCAGAATGATTACAAATGTCGTAATTTTTCGGAAAAATTTTAAGTGTTTCATATTTTTACATAGAAATACATATACAATGTAATTAATTGAAATTATTATATTATAAACCTCACCTCACCTAAATTTCACCGAAATGTTTTTTTCTGTTTTTCTTTATGTTTTGTATTTTATCTTAATATTTTAAACTCTATTTTGTCCCAGGTATTCTGTTAGCTATATTTATCATACTTAATATGTACATCAGCATAATTTCATTAGCTTTACAATGGTATATAACACTTTATGGTTTCATTCTATTATCAATCAAATTTTTCAGTTTAACTAACATAGTAACACAATTTATCCTAAATATCTACTTGTTTGTTACGCTTGCTTTGTAAATATAAAATAAATATAAATATAAATAAATAAGTTGAATTTCTAAATTCATCCTTGAGTAGCGCCAAATGTGAATTTGGCCTGAATTTCTTTAAGACAGGATTTATTAAAATATAACAAATTGTATCATGACTGATTTTAATATACATATGTACGAAGTACAATAACGGGGTAATATTTTTATGGTAGCTATATGATACCATGGACATGGAAGTTCATCAAATTATATCTAAAAGGTTAACATTGAGGGACGGGCAAAGATTCATTATATCAATATTTGTATATTAGGGTGATCGATTCAGTTTTTCAATCGGTCTTAAAACCGGTTTTTCTGATTTATCAGTGTCGGTTTTTTCTAAATGTTGATTTTTTCGAATATCGAATAACCCGGTTTTTTAACTTTTTAAAGCCGGTTTCGAATACTTTTATTTGCTTTGTATTCAAAGATTACTTCAATTAAATTTTGAAATTAATAATAATACAGCCTGTCTAAATTTTAAAATATTCGAGTCAAGAAACTAGAGTATATTTTTCTAAAGCACCTTTAGTTAAACTTTTTTGATTTTCCTTATTAATTAAAAAAATTTATTTGTAAAATTGATTGGAATAACTGTTGGATAAAATTTTATCAATCTTAAGATTATATTCCAATTACAATAATTAATTTGTCGCCGAAATATTATAGCAGTGTTGGAATACCTATGAAAATTTACTAAACAGGGACTTTAGAATAAACTAGGATTATGATTCTTCCCAATTTTTTACATTAAAGAAATAATGTTTATTTTAAAAAATCAGTTCGGGTCATAATTTTTTCTCAAATTAAACTAGATGTTTTTATGTATAATAAAAAACAGTTTTCTCTGAATTTGAAAAATATCAACCGGTTTTTTTCAAATGTCAACTATTCGAACTACTCCAGAACCGGTTTTTGGAAAATGTCGAATAATCGATCACCCTAAAGTATATATAATACCTTTTCTACTTCTGTTGTTAATTATTTAAAAATGTCTAAATATGTGAAGGTGTATTTAAAAAATTAACAACTTTCAGCAAAAAAAAAAATATGTTTTAGTACTCTAAGATCCAAGAAAGTACCCTCTGCAATATTTTTTGATACTGAAACAAAATCTCATTTTCCATCCCTGTGTATTATGTTCGTTACCATAGTTGCTAGATGATTTGGGTGCAAAATCGTCAAATTACGAGGAAAAAATCGTCAAAATTGATTTTTGAAAATCGTCTTTAAATCGTAATATCGTAATACGAGTTTAGTGATAAAATTTAACACACATAAGTTTCATATGATCCAAAATCTCCCTAACTAATTTTATGTTGATCGGTCCATAATTGACCCTACCCCCATATAAGGTCCCCTTCAGAATAAGACTTTAACGCTCATTACTGGCTTTAAAATACGAGTATAGTGATGAAATTCGACAAGTTTCAATGAAGCCAAAATCTCTCTATCAAACTTTATGTGGATCGGTCCATAATTGACCCTACTCCCCATATTAATTAATTAAACGATCATTGCGGGCTTAAAAATACAGAATACAGAAAAGCGATGAAATTCGACATTTGGTAGAGAGTTAAAACCTCTCCTCCTCAGTTAATTTGATGAGTAATATCACCCTGATATTTATAGGGGAGCATTCCTTTTAAGGCATACGGTTTGATGGTGGGTATATCAGATTCGGCACAGCCGAATATAACACTCTCACTTGTTTATTAATTAGTTTAACTATCCAGACGTTTTTATCAATTTCGATTGATTTCATTTATCATTATCTGCTTAATTTAACAATTATACTTCAAAACACATTATATTGAGTCCTTGTAAACTACATACATATGTGATATGATATATGGTAAATACGAATATGAGATATTTTTTTTTTATTTAACTTTTTTACATGTTTTTCATGAATTTTTTTTAATATATTTATTGAAAATTACATACATATGTGATATGATATATAGTAAATACGAATATGAGATATTTTTTTATTTAACTTTTTTACATGTTTTTCATGATTTTTTTTTTAATATATTTATTGAACATTTTTTTCATAATTTTTATTTATATTAAAAAAATTTAAGAATTTTTTTTTTCAATCAGTGTTAGTCAGGAATGTTATTTCCGGAATAACATCACTTCCAAGATACTTGAATCTAACTTAGACGAATGCCTGATAGTGGCATAGAAAATGCTCCAGAGTTTCAAGTTTGTATAGTATGCTCGTAATTCTGTGCGTCCACTCAGTATACGTACAATCATACTAACCTCGTCTTGCTCTCATCAGGGTCACCCCATAGGATCTTTGTGATTCTACCCACCGTTTCATTATTCCAACAGGTCTTATGGGATTCTCTCATCCATATTTTTAATTCAGCTTTTGTTGCCGCTAACGGTTTTGCGTTCGTCAGGTTAACTACCTCGAGCTCCCTTCCCTTTAAAGCTATTACATTCGCCCTTTCGTTGCCGACTAATTTAAAAACTTGTATAAAAATCCTTTATTAAAAAATCGTCAAATTTAGAGGTAAAATCTTCAAATCGTCATCAGGCTATTTTTTACACTGAAAATCGTCAAAATGATGATAAATCGTCAAATCTGGCAACAGTGGTCGTTACTAAATTTTAAATTGCAACCATGCTTTGTTTATTTTCACGTTCTAAAATATAGAAGACGCAAAGTATTGTTTTTAGTAAGTCAGCTGTTTGTGTAATTTTAGCAAATAATTTCAACAAGCATCAACTTTAAAACTGATGAGCTGATTGCCATTTCGCTGCGTTTTTAATACTTGTCGATAACGTTTTGAAACAGTATGCATTGTCAATGTTTTGTACTGCGGCGTTATGAAACGCTATACTTTGTTCGTATATATATATTTTTGGACGTCAGCCTTATTGTACCCTTTTTATATATTTTTAACCCCTCCACCACCATCAGTGGTGATAGATGGTATATATAACTTTGTCATTCCGTGTGTAACATCAAGAAATATTCATATGAGACCCAGCAAAGTATATATATATTCTGGATCCTTATGAAATTCTGAGTCGATTATGCTATGTCCGTCTGTCTGTGTACAACACGTTAAAACGAAGCAATGGAAATTCACGAAATTCACTCAAAACATTCACATATGGCTTTATAAACAAGGATCAACTATGTCGAAAATCGGACCATAATTTAGCATACCAACCATAGAATAGGTCTAAAAAAGTGTTAGTAAATTGTTTAAAGTAGAAACTTTACGAGAAGACTGGGTTTGAACCTAGAGCCTTACAGTCGCAGTTTCCACGTCCTAACCACTGCACCATTAATTACTCTTGCTATTGTCTGTTAATTGGTGGTTTTTACATAAAAATACAATTTTCACTCTTAACGCGTGATCAAAAAAAAAAAAATGTACATATTGAGAAAACGTAACTGTTTAATTTGTTATGCAATTCAGCAAGATTAGCGTTGACAAAAATATATTCAGCAAATGTTTTTTTTTTGTACACAAAGGTTTTTATATTATAAACATTAGTTATTAAAATGAACAACCAACCAACAACCAGGGCTGCGGGGTTGGGGTAGAACAGTAGAATGAGAAGTGGAACGTCAGTGGTTCGAATTTTGGTCAAGTCATTCCTTTTATTAAAAAGATTTAATTTTTTTAAGAAACAAAATTAATTGTCGCAAATTTATAAGTACTTTTGTAATTCCCCTTCAAAAAATTGGATTTCTGAAACGAAAACTTCTGTATCTTTACACCTCCACCACCATCGCTGGAGCAGGTTTCTTATTCTGAGTGTAACACTGAGAAATATTAATCTTAGACCCAACATATGAATTTTGGGGGTCCTTATGAAATTTTCAGTCGATTTAGCTATGTCCGTTTGAATAAATAGTGTTTAAATTTAGAGAATCAAATTAAATCTCTAACGTATTTTTTCCATACATGGGCTAAATCAGAAATCGCACTTCAATTTGCAAAATAATTAGGTACTACCCAGCAAATAATAGAACGAAGTTTTTCCAAAAGAATAAAATTTTTCTGTGGAAGTGATGTTAAATAACTTCCGAAGAAGCGAAAATAATTATATTTTTTCAATACTGAAGTTATATTTTTTTGAGTTACATTTTTATGACTTAAAACATATTATTTTTGGCCTTTTGGGTTAAATGTGTCTATTTCTCTTATTAATGTTAATATTATTTATGTAAAATTTGTTATATTCTATAATATGTACTACAATTTCAATTCCAAATAACTTCCAAAAAAATTACATAAAAATTACTTCTTGAGAATGACTTCAAAAGTAGTGAAATTGGAACCAAATAAAAAGAACATCGTTCCTATACAAGTCTGTGTCAAAATCACCACTTCTACTCTAAAACATTTTAGTGTTTAATTTCATTTTCATTGGATATTCTAAATACATTGATTTTCTTTTAAATATTAAAATTAGTACGAAAATCTTCTTTTGAAGAATCATCAAATTTATCGTCAACAGGCCAGTTTTGATAGTGAAAATCGTCAAAATGACGATAAATCGTCAAAACTGGCAACAGTCCGCACACGCACAGAAAACACAATTTAGTCTCATATGAGCTGTCACAGAAGAAGGTAGTGCTGTCGCTCGTTTCTTGCTTTTGCAATGAAAGTAAACGAAAATATATTAATGTAGAGATGGATAATTATTGCTGTACTTTTGTAGCATCTATACAACATATATATATAAAGAAGTTTTTTGAATTATAAACTATATATATATATATATATATATATATATATATATATATATATATATATATATATATATATATATATATATATATATATATATATATATATATATATATATATATATATATATATGTATATATATATTTAATTAAAAACACAGTTAAAAGGTCATATTTCTCTTTTGGCTACTTTTAAACTAAAAAATATTTGTTCTGTTTTAGATTAATATTATTTTTTCAGTACCTGCGATGTGAAGTTGAAGGATTTCGGGAAAAATTGCCAACAATTAGTAAATATTATATTATTACAAATTGTTGCTTAATTTTGATCAAGTAACTTTAGATTATTATTTTTCAGTCCATAGAAAGTTATATCTGATCAAATTTCTCAAATTAAGAATCATTTACCGTTTTAAAAAATTATTAATATTTTATGTTCTTGAAGAAACAAGGGCATGAGGTTGTTAATTTTTTAAGGACATTGATGAAACTTCTTAGAAGTTATTTGTAGTAAATACAAATCATACGTTAAGCCAAATACTGGTCATATATACATTATTTTTTACGAAAACTAATTTTACAAAATTTCTATTTCAAAGTGTTTTTATTGCTTAAAAAGATGGTGTCGAATTGACCTCAAGTACGACAGAAGAATTTTTAAAGAAATTTGATTCCTCGATTTCTTGATATATGTTCGTGTATTTCGTCAAAATGAGTATCAAATATACAAAAACTTGACCGGTTTTAAAGGGTTAATGATTTTTAATTTCGGAAATTTGTTCAGAAATAACTTTCTATGGACTCGGAAATAATAATTTCAATTTACTTTATCAAAATTAAGCAACAATTTGTAATAGTATTATTTTTACTTATTTATTGATTAATGGTCTTTTCCCGAAATCTTTGAACTTCACATCGCAGGTACGGAAAACTATAAGAGGTATTGAGCTCATTATATTTGTGTTTAATTCTTATATATTTCCCTTATAACATCAAGTATATAAAACTTTACAAAGTTTGAAAGTGTAGTTTTAGAAATGCTGTTAAAATAATGGCCCTTTTTATATATGAATTTTTTATGAATCTTGTAAAGGTAAACACAATATTTTTTTGTAAAATTTTTCAAAACTAAAAAAAAATTTCTTACATTAATTTCGCGGGAAATTGTAATAACTCAAATATTTATAACCAATTTTGAGTTTTTCGATCTGTTTAGAAATACAATTTAGTAGACATACCGTATTTCTATTAAATGTTGCAACAATTAGTACTTAAAGTATTGAAAAATCTTCAAAAAGTGTAATTTTTTCCCTTATAAACGCATTTACAAACTTTGGCGGCGATAAGCGTGCTCTTACATACCTTCAAAGTAATTGAATAATATTTTACAGTTTTCCATTTGACGTTAAGCTACAACATAATTACACTATTATTATTTGCGACTCATACATACATACATACATACATACATACATACATACATACATACATACATACATACATACATACATACATACATACATACATACATACATACATACATACATACATACATACATACATACATACATACATACATACATACATACATACATACATACATACATACATACATACATACATACATACATACATACATACATACATACATACATACATACATACATACATACATACATACATACAAACATACATACATACATACATACATGTACTACATAAATAAAATTTGTATATATAATTCTTCATTATTAGGCTTAAAACTTTATTATCATATGTATCACAATTTACTAATAAAACAAGTGGCGCATAATAAGTGTTGTCATATAAAAATATATATAAATATAAAAAAATTAATTGACACAAAAATCAGAAAAAAAAATAAACTTAATTGAAAAATTAAATTAAAAATATACTTTCACACAATTACTTTAAGGAATTCTTTGGAATGTAGAGCCAACAATTTCCATTTTTTTAGATGCTGGATAGTGTTAAATCGAATATTTCGTATTAGGTATTGTCTTTGAAATTACAATAAATTTTTTAAATTAATTAAATTTGGCATCAACAAAATTTTTTTTTTATTGTCACGTTTAAATGGTTTTGAGCCTTGTTCTTTTTTCAATTGGACCGACATTCTTCTTATTTGTGAAAATATCATTCCTCCATCACATATCGTTCAGAATCTATTATTACAACAGAAGTACATTCATACTAACTTGACGTGATGGCAAATTTTACCCCTTTTATTTTTTTTGGAAAAACATCAACTACAAGATAATTTTATTATAACTAATTGTTTCTTAAATATAAGAGACAACATTTTGAAATTAAAATAATACAAAATTTTTTTTTTTATTATTCAGTTTTATAAAATAATATTTCATTTGAATCGAATTTTTGGGACAATTGCCAGAAAGTGACAATAATAATACCAATAATGATTCGGGAACAGTTAATCATATTTACTTGAAATCCTTTTAAGAAATGTTGGGAATTAAACAATACCAAAAAATTCTCAAATTCCTAAAGAAAAGTGTAATTAAATTTCTTACTATTTATGTACTGACAAGTTGTCAATTGGTATCGATAGAAAAATCCTCCCCTCAACTCTAAAATAATTATGAATAGGAGAATTATATAAAAAAATTTTAATTTCTGATTTGTTTTATAATCTTTCTCGATACATTACTCGTATTTAATTTCCTTGAACATAAAGTGCAGATAGAAACAAAACAACCGAAACTAAAAAGAAAACAAATAAAAGACAAACCTGAATACGTGCCTCTGGTAAACCTATTTTTTCTGCCAGCCTTTCTCTAGCAAACACGTCAGGATAATGGGTCCTCTCGAATTCTAAGAAAAAATAAAATATTAACAGTAAAAATTAATAAATTAATAAATAAATTATAACAAATATTCTAAATATGTTATATATATAAGTAGAAGCATACGATTGGCTCAAAATTTCTTACTTAGGTTATGATCTAATTTTTTAATATAACTATAAAGTAACTCAGAATTAAGAACTATATTGTTAGAAATATCAAAAATCAAATGCTTTTCATTAAACAAAGGATACATGAAGCTTCTGAGCTGGTGTACCATAAGAGTAAAGTGTTATAAAAAAGACCCCTAAAATTTACACAGGCCAATTAAATAAAAAAAACTAACGCAATTCTTGGGCTTTATTTGACACGTTTTAAAAGCTCAAGTCCAATCGACCTTTAAATAAAGGTTTAACCTTTATTATATATTCTCCCTTTTTCGAGATATAATTACCCTAAAAATAATGTATGATTTGGACTCTGGGTTAAAATGGTTGGCCGGTGTTATCAATATTATACTACAAGTAAAGCCATATCATTATAGGAATATATTTTAATAGTTTCTGTTCTTCAAAATTTTACTTATAGTCAAGATTTTTTAGTTGGCATATTTTTCGAATAAAAAATATAGCATTTAAATAAATCTTTAATCTTGACATTTTTACAGAAAAAATATAATAATTGAAAGGGCAATCAATATATAAAAAGAGTAAAAGGTCTAAAACAATCCTGTTTAAAAAACTTGAATTTTAAATTACTTAGGATAGTATTACATTAAATGTACGATATCTGTTTAAACAAAAATAATAAGTATACCTTTCTCCAAACTATCGATTTGTTCGTTGGTAAATGATGTCCGATTACGCTGTAATTTACGTTTTAAACGCAAACGCATTTGAGAGTCTTCGTCGCCGGAAGAATTATGATCGGAGTTTCCATCTGAGGTACTTTCATGCGAATTAGCATGGGATAGATCTCCCGAAAATACATCTGCAATAATAACGAGAGAAATAAAATAAATAAGGGCAAAAATATATTTATTAAAATAATATAAAAATTTAGTTTACATCCACTCTCAACCTTACCCTATCTTGAAGAAGAAAAATAAAACGAAAGAGAAGGGTACGTAAATGCGGAAAGACTTTCAGATTGAAAATATTTGTCGAAAATTACAACTTTTTTAAATTTAAGTTAACTTTATAGACGGTTAAACGGCTGAACCAATTTCCTTGAAATTTTCACAGTGTCTTCCTGTATGTCTGGAAGGCTACTTTTTATTTCGAAATTTCAAGTGGGAGGGGTGCCACGCCCACATACAAACTTAGTACTAAAAGTCGCATATCTCAGAAAGTACAACATTAACATTTGGTACCTTCCATATGAAGAAAATATTAAATAAGTATATCTGAGAAAATATAACAGATAGAGTTCTCAAATTTTGTCGGAACCACATTAGTGTCAATGTGATTATTTAAGGAAAAAGAGGCGGACTAGAAGTAGGGGGCGTGGCACCTCCCATAAGAATTAAATACAAAAACTCGCTTATCTGGGAAACTATTAGAGTTAAAATCATAAAATTTTGCACGAAGAACTTTAACATCCATGTGAACATTTTGGGTAATAAATTGGCGTAAAATATACAAAAATTCGTTTATCTGGGAAACTAGAGCTAGCTTCTTAAAATTTTGCACGAAGAACTTTAATATTTATCTGAAAATTTTGAGGGAAAAGGGCGGACTTTCATTAGGGGGGCTTGGAACCCCCTCCCATATGAATAAAATGGAAATTTTCGTATATCTGAGAAACTATTAGAGCTAAAATCCTTAAATCCTTTGACATTAATGTCAACATTTGGGTAATAAATTGACGGACTAGCAAATTGGAACCTCCCATATGAATTAAATATAAAAATTCATATATCTGAGAAACTATTATTATTTATCTGAAAACTATTATAGTTAGAATTTTCAAAATCGTAAAATGTTTTTTTATTTACATTGCTTTAAGGGTAGCAAAGCACACTGGGTATTTCTATAAATAATGAGATATGCATGAATTGTACCTGATTATGAGCAATAAACGAATTTATCTAAAGTCAATTCATACATAGCGAATTTTCAGAAAATATATTAAAAAACAAGTAGGAATGTAAAGTGGGGCAATAACGACACTCTACAACAGTAGGTATCAAATGGTATTTGTGAAATGATATAACATTTATATTAATATTAATTCTGAAATTTTTCCAATATGTTGACAACAAAGAGTTTTCTAAAAGAGGGGTTATATGGGGGCAAAGGTAAATATGGTTGATGGATTTATGCAGAATTTAGTGAATTTTGAACTTCAACTCATTTTACGAAGTGGAAGAGGACTATGGTGTGACCCTAGCGACCATAGTCCTCTTCCCAATGAGGACCGATCATTACCAAAATTATTAACTAATTTTAGAAAATAGAAAGAATTTCGAACATTTCGAAGGAGTTCATGTGCAATAACTAGGAATTTGCGAAATTTGTATTTTAATTCGAAGTTCCTTAGTTAGTCGAATGGTTTTTATTTATTAATATTTGTATGTATATTGATTAAACAAACTTTTAAAGAAAATAACAAATGTTTTGTGCAGGTCGCGTATTGAAATTTGGCATATACACTTATTTTGAACCAAATATTTAGCTTATTAAGACTGGTTAAAATCAGGACTTGAATTTTTCTAGACCTAAACAATTGATCGCATCGTATATGACTTCTTCATTCATATATATCGGAAGGCATTACTAGTTTATGTATAAGCCAAAATTACGATGTGAAATTTAGAAATGATCGACCCATATTTCGTTATTACGATAATTAGACAAATGTTGATTATCTCATAAACTAAACACAATATCGACAAACTGGAAAAAGTACCGCAAAAATACATACATGTTGGGTCAAAATAATAATATTCGTGAAGTTATATTTAAAATTAAATTAAAATACACTATTTCATGTAGAACAAAGGAAATGCAACAGCCATTTTTACACATGTAAAAAATCGATGTAGGAGAATCTAGAGACAGAAATTCCGTAATGATCCTAATGCACTTTCACTTTTGCAGCATTATTAAATTTTTCCATATAATCAATGATTCATGCACGATTTCCAATTTTGCTGTTTCTGCTCATCTTTGTTATCATTAATCAAAAATGGAAAGGTATGATATCGCAAAATCGGGAAACATTTTGTTTTTGAAACAAAACCTAATTTATACTTACTCCAAACCCCTATGGTTCAGTTGACTTTTGAATGTTGAAAAATAACTTTCTTTAATCTTTCCAATATATGTACATTAGGGTGGCCCCGTTTTTATGGATGAAAAATAAGGTGTCGATGTTCCCAACTAAAATTAAAGTTTAATTGATTATAAGATTTCTCAAAAATTTTGCCCTGGGGTCAAAGGATAAAAATGTCCTTTTTTGAGGTTTTTATGATTTTTTCATATTTCTTCCAAAGGAAAGATACAAAATTTTGGTATCATAAGAAAGGTCCTTGATTTTAATTTTTCAGATTTTTAACATTTTAACACATACGAATTTAATATAATTAGTTGAAATTAATACACAATAATCCTCAATAAAATCTACCGGTTTTTTGCGTTTTTGAAAATTCAATCTAGATCAAAATTTATTTTACTTTATAGACGTCTATGTATGCTACCAAAACATTGCGAAATAATGTAAACAATAATATAGAAACCGTTATTTACAAAGCAAGCATATCAAATAAGTAGATGTTTGGGATAAATTGTGTTAATATTTTAGTTAAACTGAAAAATTTGATCGATAATAGAATGAAACCATAAAGTGTTATATACCATTGTAAAGCTAATGAAATTACGCATATGCTGATGTACATATTATGTACGTTAGATAAATATACCTATCAGAAAACCTTTGACAAATTAGAGTTTATGATATTAAAATGAAATACAAAATATAAAGAATTTCGAAAAAAAAAAAAAACATTTCGGTGAAATTGTTTGAGGTTTATAATAATTTCAATTAATTACATTTATAATTCCATGTAAAAATTTGAAAAACTTAAAAATTTTCCGAAAACTTACGACATTTGTAATAATTTTGGAGTTGTATACAAATTTGTGTTATGTCATTGAAATCGTCTCTCAAAGACCTTTCATATGATACTAAATTTGCATATGGTTTATTTGCCAGAAAGAAAAATCATAAAAACCTTAAAATAGGACCTTTATATCCTTTGATTCAGCTCACCAAATATTGACGTCAGGAATAAAATCTTGACAAATGGTATCTTATAATGAACTAAATTTTTATTTTCGGTGGGAACATCAGCAACTTCCATTTTGGGGCCACCCTAATGTACATAATTTTTTTTATTTTTTACCAAATGTGGTGTTCTCTTGAACCATTGAACCTTTAACTACAAAGTTGCAGTATAAGATATTTCTGTTAAATGGTGTTAAATATAAGCACAATCGGATCAGACCTGGGATAAATGCATTAAGTATGTTAATGCATTGACAATTTTTTCACCATTAAAAAAAAAAATAAACTTGCATTAACATTAACATGGGTACATTTAATGCATTAAATTTGCATTAATATTAAATATTTTTGAATTTAATGCATTAATTTTACATTAACATTAAATATTTTTGAAACTAATGCATTAATTTTCCATTAACATTAAATCATATGTAATAAAATTAATGCATAAATTTTACATTAACATTAATGTATATAATAATTTATACAAATAAAAATACAGCGCCAAAGACCTCGATCTAACTAAATTCAAGTAAAATTCAATGTGTTAAAGTCCTTTCTAATTAGTCCCATACTCGATAATATATGTCGGAAGAATAGTATCACTTCCCACGTATTCTTTTTTGTTTATTTTGTCACACTGTGCAATCTTATACAACCTTAAATGTAAATATCATATTTAAAACTCACAAGTTTGAATGGAATATAAGAAGTTTTAGAAAGGACTTTAACCCATTAAATTTTAATTGTATTTATTTAGATCGAGGTCTTTGGCGCTGTATTTTTATTTATGTTTATCAATTTTATATATGTATATTAATGTTAACGGAAAATTAATGCATTATTTTTATTACATAATTAATGTTAATATAAATTAATGCATTAATTTCAGAAATATTTATTGTTAATGCAAAATTAATGCATTAATTTATTAAAATATGTATGTATGTATGTATGTATGTATGTATGTATGTATGTATGTATGTATGTATGTATGTATGTATGTATGTATGTATGTATGTATGTATGTATGTATGTATGTATGTATGTATGTATGTATGTATGTATGTATGTATGTATGTATGTATGTATGTATGTATGTATGTATGTATGTATGTATGTATGTATGTATGTATGTATGTATGTATGTATGTATGTATGTATGTATGTATGTATGTATGTATGTATGTATGTATGTATGTATGTATGTATGTATGTATGTATGTATGTTGTATGTATGTATGTATGTATGTATGTATGTTGTATGTATGTATGTATGTATGTATGTATGTATGTATGTATGTATGTATGTATGTATGTATGTATGTATGTATTTAGTATGTATGTGTATGTATGTAGTATGTATGTATGTATGTATGTATGTATGTATGTATGTATGTATGTATGTATGATGTATGTATGTATGTATGTATGTATGTATGTATGTATGTATGTATGTATGTATGTATGTATGTATGTATGTATGTATGTATGTATGTATTTATGTATGTATGTATGTATGTATGTATGTATGTGTGTATGCATTGCATGTATGTATGTATGTATGTATGTATGTATGTACGTATTTTTTTATGTATGTACATGATACATGGTACTTCCAATATTCCAAACCTTATGTCTGCATTTAATGTTCAATGTGACCATCACTTTGCAACAAAAGAACCCATCCTAATACAAATTAA